GTATCAATTATCTAGCTTTTAGAGCAAATATTAACATGAACAAAAAACGTTTAGTATCCAAAAAATAAAACCACAAGTAAATTTGTTGACAAATATCTTAACTAATTATTTGTTGTTCAAAAGTACAAAAAATATCAACTCAATTTGATATTAACATAACGCGTTAGCTCAAATTAATTTAAGAGTCATTTTCATTTTCAAACATTTTAAAACGGATATATTATAAATGTATAAGTAAAGTAATAAATTAGGTGTGTTTTCGAAATTTAAATAAGGAAATTTTAACTTAGAAGTATCGGTTAAATTTCAAAATTATGTACTCAATCTAAGCCAAGAATGAGAAACCCGCGGCCCACGGGCTTCACGCGTCTCTTTAAATTTTTCTGCGACCTGCTAAGCATTTATAAAAGAAAATTTTATTTATTTAATCAAATTTCTTGCATTAATAAATTAATTATAAAGTATTCTTTTCTTATTGCATTAATTTATAAGATATTTACTCTTCTTAATATAGTTAAATTTATATTATAATGTTTATTAGTTATATCAAGCTTTATAAATTAATAAGTAAATAAATAAATTATTAATAAGTGTGGCCCTAATAACAATTTAATAAAGGTTTTTCATTCTTAGCCTAAATAATCCTCGCAACCTGGTTTTATTGAATAGTTATATTGAAAATATACAAAATAGAAGTTTATGATAATATAATATAGAAGTTTGATGACACACGTCTAAGACAAATCGCAGAATTTAGTGTAATGATTCGTAAACTTGCTTTATATTTTTTATTCTCACTACCACACTATTTTTTTTTTCTAATAATTCTAGTCATAATAAAAATCTTTAATATGTACAATTTATTTTACTTTACTTATAAAAAATATTATTATTATTAATGAAACATGTAATGTATTTAAATTTTAATTGTGCAAGCTTGTATAAAATAGCTTCAAGTAATTTGTTTGCACGCATTGTTCACATTTATAAGATAATAAAATATAGAACATAAGTACATAAACTTTTTTGTGCCATGAACCTCTTGGTTTTGCCAAAAACCCCCTATTTATTTGATTTCGACCCTCAGAATACTTTTTCGTATCCTGGAAAACCCTTGAAATTGTCATGGATCCCTTGGGGGCCCATATGGACCACTTTGGGAATCACTGGCATAGGAAGAGATTCTTTATATTGAAA